TTGCGCAGCAGGCGACGAAACCACTGAGCTAAATCCTCGGCCCCCAATTTTTAATTTAAATTTAAAAAATAATTTTTTTGAGACCAGGTCTCACTATGTAGTTTGGGCTGGGCTTAAACTCACTATGTAGCCCAGGCTGGCCTCAAACTTGGTTATCCTCCCGCCTCAGCGTCCCAAGTGCTGGCTCTGCTCCCCCATTTTAAAGTGGGAAGTTTGAAGACCCACAGGGTGCTGGGGTCCTAAGTTGTGCGTGGGACCGGAAACCAGACTTCTGGCTTCTCACTGCCTCCCTCTGCTCCCTGCCACACCCTCCTTTCTTCTTCAGAGATAATAAGGAAATGAAAGGGGAGAAAATCCAACCTTCTGGGTGGGGGTGCGGATCCTATGAGGGCTTACCCCCAATCTCAACCCCACCCTGTTGGGGGGAGATCCGGTTCAGACCCGGACACTAGGGGTTCATCCCAGCCACGGGGCGTGGGAAAGCCCAAGATGGATTAGAGCAGCTGGAGGGTTTGAGGTCAGACCTCAAAGAGAACTTCCGGGTGGGTGGGGAGCCAGAAGAGGAGGGCCCTGGGGTCCCAGAGAGCCCTGCTGGGTTGGAGAAGTAGGGTGGGATGCAGGGTGAGTTAGTACTCTTTATAGAACCCCTCAGTCTGTCACCTCCCCTAATCTCTTTCCTTATTCTGGGGAAGGGCAGAAGCACCCAACTGGGGGGAGGGCAGTGGGTACAGGAGGGAGGAGCTGCACCTGCCAGTCAGTGTGGGGCTTCTGAGGAGATGGTGACCCAAGGCAAGGGAGAGAAACACAGAGATGTGCTGCAGGACAAAGAGGGCGTGGGGTAGGGATGGGAGAGCGTGCAAAGCGGGCAGATGGATGGAGGGGTGGCAGGGCCTGGGGAGATGGGGCAGAACTGGGGTGGAGGGGAAGGCGGAGAGAGTTGGAGAGTAGATTGAGGGTGAGAGAATGGGTGGGGGTAGGGAAAGAGAAAGTAGGGAGAGACAGATGGGGATGGGAAGGGAGACAGAGGCACCGAGACCAGGATAGGTGGACAGATGCACAGACAGAAATGGCCAACCCAGAGATTCCAAGGGACCAGCCTGAGAGTGTACTGGAGAGACACGTGAAGGAGCCAACAGTTTCCCACCAGAACTCAGATCTGGGGTCCCCCCTTGAGTCCCTTTTCTCTCTGGAACTTGGAACTTGCAGATGCTTAGAGTGGCAGGGAATCAGATGGTGTCCACTAGCCCACAGCCAAGGTGGCAGCAGCCAGAGCTCCGGCAGCCACAGAACCAAGAGACTGGACCCAGCTGGGGAGGGGGCAGGGCAGATAGGGCCGGACAGAGGGAAGAAGTGGCTGAGCCCAGTAGGTACCTAGAGAAAGAGTGAGCCACCATCGAATGTGCTTTTGTGTTTCCCTTGCTTAGCTTGTTCAGTGTCTTCCTGCTACACTGTCCCCTTCTGAGGCTTGTTTTGTGGTAGTGGGGATTATTAAACCCAGGGCCTTCTCACTGAGCTACATCTCTAGGCCTTTTAAAAAAAATTTTTTTTTTTTTGAGATGGGATCTTGTTAAGTCACTAAATTGTCCAGACTGGACTCAAACTTGTGATCCTCCTGCCTAAGGCTTTCCACTGAACCCGTTAGGACATTTCTGTCTGCCTTGGTTACTGCCTTTACGGCAAGATCCAGGACACAGAGACTGGGGATTTAGCTCAGTGGTTCCACCGCCTGCCTCAAAAATGCAAGGTCCCGAGTTCGAACTCTGGTACCAAAAAAAAAAAGGATCCAGGACACAGGCCTGGAGCGAACCTGCCTGGATTCAGAATCCCAGTTGTGCCTTTTCCTTCCTGTGTGACTTTTCCTTTTTTTTTTTTTTTTGGTACCGGGGATCGAACTCAGGTTCTTGTGCTTGCGAAGCAGGCGATGGAACCACTGAGCTAAATGCCTGGTCCTTGTGTGGCTTTTCCTGACAATCTCGTGGGCTTCAGCTCACACAGTTGTAAAATGGACATCATATTCTTTCTTTTCTTTTTTTTTTCTTTTTTTCTTTTTCTGAAACAGGGCCTCAGGTTTAGGCTGGCCTTGTACTTACTATGTAGCCCAGGCTGGCCTCGAACTCCCAGCAATCCTCCTGCCTCAGCCTCTGGAGTGCTGGGATTACAGGCATGTGCTACCATGTCCAGCTAAAATGGACCTCATATTAATGCCTCCCCCAGCGTTCACCAACCACCACCACTATGGCTGTAAGGATTAAAAAAGATTTAATCTGTTAATCCTTCTTGGGAAGTGCTTGGGGCATTGCCTGGCACAGAGTACGTGGCCTATAAATATGTGTCAAATGGATGAAAGAACATGTAGAGGGTTGGGCCAGAGATTTAGCTCAGTGGCACTATGCTTGCCTCGGAAGCACAAGGTCCTGAGTTCGATCCCCGGTACCAAAAAAAAAAAAATCGCCCTCTATATGTTCTTCTTTTTTTTTTTTTTTGGTACCGGGGATCGAACTTGGGACCTTTCACTTACGAGGCAGGTGGCTGCACCACTGAGCTAAATTCCCGGCCCCAGAAGATGATTTTGAAAGGCAAAACAGTGCCTACCATCTTTCATTGAGCTGCAATGTATATTTTTCCCTATTTGAACATTTCTGAAAATGGAACACATTTTACAGTCAATGACATCCAGAGACTTCAACTAAGTGGGCATAGGGCGGGGGATTTAGCTCATTGGTTTCACTGCCTGCTGCGCAAGCGCAAGGACCCTAGTTCAATCCCCGGTACCAAAAAAAACCTAAATGGATGTTTTTCCATTTATATTGATATGTAAAAGTGTTATAACTTACAGTGAATCTTAGACTTGATCATATATAGAAATTGATGTGCTATATTTTAGGATGAAGTGTGATTTCTAATCACATATTTTTGTTGGTTTATTGGGACAGGGTCTTGATATGGAGGCCAGATTCTCTTCAAACTTGAGCTCCTCCTGAGTGCTGGGATTATAACCACCATGTTGGCCAGACAAAATTTTTGATCTATAAAAACAATAATTTTTTGCGAGGCATGGTGGCACACCCCTGTAATCTTGGCACTCAGGAGGTTGAGACAGAGTGCCATGAGTTCAGTGCCAGCCTGAACTACACAGGGAAACCTTGTACCCTCCCCGCTCCAAAAAGAGCTAAAAAGAGTAAAATAAAATCAAACCAGTAAATTTTTTTTTGGTACCGGGGATCAAACTCAGGTCCTTCCGCTTTTGAGGCAGGCAGTGGAACCGCTGAGCTAAATCCTCGGCCCTATAATCTAAAATACTGATAGAGAGCTACAAATATTGGTTAGATTATTAGATATTTACATTAACTGCTTATTAAAATTGAACTGTGGTTTATTAGGAAATCAATTTTGTGGTTGACTTAGCCAATTTTGATTGATTTCTCAATTTTTTTTCAAGTCAAAAAATTGATTTCTCAAGTTTTTCAGTCTCAGGACCTCTTTAATTCTTAAACATTATTGAAGACCCCAAGCAGTTTCTGTTAATGTGGATTATGTCTGTTGATACTTACCATATTCAAAATTAAAACTGAGAAATTTTTCAAAAATGTATTAATTGTGTAATAATCCAGTTTAAAATGGCCATCATGGCTAGGCATGGTGATGCACGCCTATAATTCCAGCATTCTGGGAGGCTGAGCTAGGAGGATCTCAAATTCAAGCCCAGCCCAGGCAACTTAGTGATTTAGCAAGACCTTATCTCAAAATAAAAAATAAAAAAGGACTCGGGATGTGGATGTTGCTTAGTGCAAAGATCCTGGGTTCAGTCACCTGTACTATTTTTTTCAAAAAGCTATTACTTGCCATTATAGATATATATGTTTTTATTAAGATAACTATGTTTCAGGCCGGGGATTTAGCTCAGTGGTTTCGGCGCCTGCTGTGCAAGAGCAAGGTCCCGAGTTCAATCCCCAGTACCAAAAAAAAAAAAAAGATAACTATGTTTCAAAAATTGAATGAGAAGAGTAGCATCACATTTTTGTAAATAAGTCTGTCTCAATAGAAGATAGCTGGAATCTCAGCTGCTTCTGCCTTCTCTGTGTCTCAATATCACATGTCCTGAAGCCTCTGAAAAACTCCACTGTGCGCTCATGAAAAAGAGAGTGAAAAAGGCCAATAATGTCTCGGTATGATTTGCAAAATGGTTTTGACCTCAGAGACTCCCCAGAGTGTCCCACCCAGAAGGCACTTTGAGAAACACTTCAAGTGTGACCTCGTGTGTATGGGAGCATGGTGGGTAGGAGGATGGGGTCATAGAGATAGGTTATACGGGGAGGAAGAAGAGACTTCAAGAGACAGGTGTCTTAGAGAGAGGTAATGATGGTAGAGACTTATAGTCTTGCTAAGACACTGAGTTGCCCAGGTTAGGCTTGAACTTGAGATCCCCTTGCCTCAGCCTCCAGGAGTGCTGGGGTTACAGGTGGCACCACCGTGCCTGACTATGGAGGCAAGACGGACGGCTGGAAGGTCTCAGGGTTGGTCCTGGGATCTCTTACTGACCAGTGGAGTGGAGTCGCACTGACCCTTCCCCGCCTTTCTCTCCCGGCAGGTCTACTCTCCAGTGACCCCAGTGCCCACCATGGCGCCTCTCAACTCCTACATGACACTGAACCCTCTAGGCTCTCCATACCCCCCCGGGGGGCTCCCTGCCTCCCCACTGCCCTCAGGACCCCTGGCACCGGCTGCCCCCTCAGCGCCCCTGGGACCCACCTTCCCAGGTCTGGGTGCCAGCAGTGGCACAGGTAGCAGCTCGGGGTATGGGGGCCCGGGGTCCGGGCTGGTGCATGGGAAGGAGATGCCCAAAGGCTACCGGCGACCTCTGGCCCACGCCAAGCCTCCTTATTCCTACATCTCGCTCATCACCATGGCCATTCAGCAGGCACCCGGCAAGATGCTCACGCTGAGTGAGATCTACCAGTGGATCATGGACCTCTTCCCTTACTACCGGGAGAACCAGCAGCGCTGGCAGAACTCCATCCGCCACTCACTGTCCTTCAACGACTGCTTCGTCAAGGTGGCGCGCTCCCCGGACAAGCCGGGCAAGGGCTCCTACTGGGCCCTGCACCCCAGCTCTGGGAACATGTTCGAGAACGGCTGCTACCTGCGCCGCCAGAAACGCTTCAAGCTGGAGGAGAAAGTGAAGAAAGGGACCAGTGGGAGCTCTGCTGCCAGGGCCGGTACGGGGTCGGCTGCTTCAACCATCACCGCTGCTGCCACTGTGACCTCCCCAGCGCAGCCCCCGCCCCCGCCCCCCGAGCCCGAGGCCCAGGGTGGCGGGGAAGAGGTGGGGGCTCTGGACTGTGGCTCACCTGCTTCCTCCACACCCTACTTCACTGGCCTGGAGCTCCCAGGGGAGCTGAAGCTGGATGCGCCCTACAACTTCAACCACCCTTTCTCCATCAACAACCTGATGTCGGAACAGACACCAGCGCCTCCCAAACTGGACGTGGGGTTTGGGGGTTATGGGGCTGAGAATGGGGAGTCTGGGATCTACTACCAGGGCCTCTATTCCCGCTCTCTGCTTAATGCATCCTAGCAGGGGGGTGGGAACGTGGTGGTGGGGTACGGCTGTGGCTTGTCCCATAGGTTAACATCTTGTTTGGTCTCTTCCGTACTGTGATGATTCACTGGCTACTGTGATAACAGCCATGGACCATGTTGGGGGCCCCGTGGGGTGCCTCACAGACTGCCACATTGACTGATGTTATTGGTTGAACCCTTGGGCACTTTGATGATCGCCATCTGGGATGGCATCTTGGTTGGGCCTTTGGGTGTGCTAGTGATACCATTTCAGTGACTCTTCTGTGGCCCCCTGAGTGCTGTGATCACTTATATCCCGCATGACATCTTTTTTGGCCCATTGGGTGCTTAGGGGGCCACTGTATTGGCCATGTGACGTCAGTGTGCCGTTGAGCACCATGATGCCCACCATGCTCCAGTGTTGGCCGTCATCACTGTATCTTTGGCGTGGCCTGCGAGAGGGATGGAGATGAGACGATTCCTTCATTTTCTCTGATGCCCATCCCCCCAGCCGCATCCAAGAGAAACCAGAAAGGGCTGGTCAGGGTGTGGGAAATGTCTACTGAAGTCAAGTTCTTGCCTGGGAAGCGGGATACTGGCTGTGTTTGACCATTAAAGGCACCGATTCCGCCTCTTACTGAAGGTCTTTTTTCCTTGGTGGCCCCGTGGGGCTTGAACACCTGACTTTCTGATCCTCTGTCTCCTTCCCTTCCTGCCCGTAAGAACTGGCTGCTGCTGGGGGAAGGGCTGGAATAGGCATCGACCTGACCTTTGGCTCTTTGCTGTCCCTGACCCCAAGGACAGTTTGTTCACCGATAGCAGCCCCCGCAGCCTTGGGGCCAGCGCAGCAGGGGGAGGTGGCTCAGTGGTGACCAAGGCCAACTCCCTACCCCCACTTCCCAGACCCACACTTCTACCCCTGAGGCTCTGGGCACCTAGGGGCTGCTCAATTTTGGGGTAAACTGGGGAGGAGGAAAAACAATAGCTGAGGTGTTAAACTGGAGACGATGCATGTGTATGTTCTGTGGGTTAGGGGCAATCACCACGCCCGCTGGGGTGTCTGTGGTCTACTGCAAGGTCCATACCCCTCAGTTGGGTGGGTTGGTGTGTCTGTCCATACTCTGGCGATGGGCTTCCTGTGGACATCTCAGGCTTTGTGTGTGTGTTTGATTGTTTTGTGTTTGTGATTCTCTTTATACACCTATCCTGGGCCTCACACTGTTATATGTGTGTGTGTTTACATTGCTTTATGTTATGTACTACTTACTGCTGCCTCTGGAGGCGGGGGGATCCGTGTTGTGTGTCACTGGGTTCTATAAAATATCTCTGGGAGTCAGCTTTTCTCTCTGTGTGCGTTTGTGTGTGTGATGCCTGTCATTGCTGTGTGCCCTGTCATTGTTGGGTCCGTGTGTGAGCTCGTGTGGCAGGTCTGCTGACTTGGGCACATGTCTATCACTTTTGTGGGCATATGTGTGGAGCAGGCTCTGAGTCCTCTGGCCATTGTGGGTCTCTGGGTTGGAGATCCAGGTGTCTGTCTCTCCAGGTCTCTCCAAGTGTGCTTCTCTCTGAAGCACAATTGTGCACATAGGGAATTTGCCCCTGTACATACCTCCTGCCTCTTCTTTCCCCATCCCCCTCCTCCCCTCAACACTCCCCTGTACAAAAGCTTTGTTTCTAGTTTTTTTCTTCTATTTTCAATTTCTTTTTTTTTTTTGAGACAGGGTCTCACTGTGTAGTTCAGGCTGGTCTTGAACTCACTATGTAGCCCAGGCTGGCTCTGAACTTGTGGCAGTCCTCTTCCCTCAGCCTCCCAAGTGCTGGGATTACAGGCGCCACCACGCCTGGCCCAAGGACCCCCCCCCCATTTTTGGTACTGGGGCTCAAACTCAGGACCTTGTGCTTGGAGGCAGGCACAGGACACTAAGCTAAATCCCAGTCCCCCAAGACCCCTTCTTTCAGAATGGAACCCGAGGGCCAGAATGGGAAGGGACTGGCCCAAGGTCCTTTGGTAGGGCTGAGGCAGGTAGGCAGGGTCAGTCTGACAGTATCTTCCAGTTTGCCTTTCTTGGTCCTTGGCTCTCTGACCACCCTGGCCACTTATTCATTTTTCAGCCTGCCAGCCAATGCCCAAATCATTCAAAATCCAAGAGCTGTCTCTCTTTTTTTTTTCCCTCCCTATACTGGGAATTGTTTATGTTTTTGTTTTTTCGGTACCGGGGATCAAACTCAGGACTTTGGGCTTTCGAGGCAGGTGTGATGCCACTGAGCTAAATCCTGGCCCCCTATACTGGGGATTGAAACCAGTGCCTTAGCACTGAGCTACATCCTCAGCCCTGTTTATTTTTTGTTTTGAGATGGTGTCGCTATGTTGTCCAGGCTGGCCTCAAATTTGCAATCTCCCTGCCTCAGCCTCCCAGAGAGAAGACTGTCTCTGTCCATGCACCTGCGTGTGAACTAGAACTGGCACATGGGAAGTCTCCCAGTCTCTGTGTATCTGTCCTTCTCCTTGTCTCTTAATGTCACGCCTCTCTCTCTCCCTCCCCCCCCCCCCCCTCTCTCTCTCTCTCTCATTCTTCCCTTCTTTCTCTCTGACACTCTGACACTCTGACACTCTGGTCTCTGGCTCTTGCTTTCTTGGATTCTGTCTTCCGTGCTCTTTTTCTGGATCTCTGATCTCTTCGTCCCTGACCTCCCTCCCTCTCCCAGCAGCTTCCTGACTTTCCGCCTCTACCTGCCACCTCGCTGGCCAGGCCCTCTATTTCTGTCGCTGTGCCCGCCTTGCTGGCCGCTGAGTGTCACCCCCGCCCCCTGCCATGCTGGCTCCCTGTCTGCCCGTCTCACCAGCCTCGCTGTCCTGGGCAGCCCGGGGAATTCCTCCTGGTTCCTGGAAAAAACAACTGGGGCGAGAGAAAGGCCCTCAGTCTCCCCAGCCCCCGCCCCTCCCTCAGGCCTGGGGGTCTCTCCAGAGCCGGAGCCCGAGGCAGGAAGCCCTGCGGTTTCTGGCTTCTCCCGGTGGCCTCCGGATCTGGCCCCCGCCCCCCGGCCAACAGCCCAAATATTATTCTGCGGGAGGAGGCTCGGGCTGAAAGAGGCTTTCAGGGCGGCCAGGCCTGGGGCTTCCTGTCCCCAGGCTCGGGCCTCAGGCCGCCCCAGTGGGGACCTCAGGTGGCCGGAGGGGTGGGGTGTTGTTGTAGGGTCCTTAGGGGAGGGTGGGGCTGTCCAGCAGGGTGCCTGGTAGCCACTGGCTCGCCTGGCATGGGCAGGTGTGACCCCCACCCCAGGGACAGCCGGCTGGTGTCCAGCATGGAAAAGTACCACATCAGACGTGGGACGCATGGACAGACATGAGGACGCCAGGGACTGGGGATGGAAGGGTAGCCATTGGGACACAGGGTTTCCTGGGCTGTGGGCCTGAGGTAACGCAGTCCAAGGGAGGGGCCCATGGGTGGCAAAACAGAGGCTGGGGCAGGTCCTAGCTGTGGGCAGAGGGCTTCCTGTCTCGGAAAGCTTGAGATGTCATGGCGATAATACATAATGATGGTTAAAAGCTACTAGAGCTTACATTTGTCTGGCGTTTCGCGTGACTCTGCTGAAGTGATTAGTTCAATCCCTTCTAACCCCTTCACTTCGTGGTTGGAAACTGAGGCACAGAGAGGTGAGGTGACTTGCCCTAGGTCACACAGCTAGTGGGGACAGTGCTAGGACTAAGCCCAGGCAGACTGGCCAGAGTCCCTGCCCTTCACCCTGGCACTGCTCTGGAGGACCGAGGGACAACAGCAGTCCAGCAGAGTCCTGGGATCCTAAGCCTTTTCTGAGAATCATCCCCACTTCTTGTCACAAGCTGCTACAGGAGGAGGGGGGACACCCCCAGGAGCCAGCAGTCGGGGCAGTTCGCACGTGTGTGTGCGCATGGTTGTGTGTCCCTGGGCCTCATCCCTATATCTTGGTGGGGTCGCCATGGCTGTGGGCTTCTGCGTGACTCCGTGATGTCAGTGTGCGCCATGTGTCTGTCAGTGTCCCTCCCTGGGCCATCGTGTACATGTCTCTCTCTCAGTTCTGTCCTTGTCTTCCTTGTGTCTGTCCCCGTGTCTGTCATCATGTCTCTGTGCCCAACAACACATACACCCGTCAGTGTGGTTTCTGTGTGCACCACCATGTGTCTGTCACTGTGTGTTAGTGTGTCTCTGTCATCTGTGGTCACTGGACCTGTCGCTGAGGGACTGCCTGTATCTGTCACTGTGTGTCACCGTGTCTGCTCCCTATGTGTCACCATCTACCCAGGTGTGTTACTCACCACCCAGGCCACAGGTGGGGGGGGGTCGGGCCCACTGGTGCCAGGCCTGGGGCCCAGCCCGTCCCACCCTCCCTGCCACGGGCCGGGCTGGGCGCCTGTTTGCAAGGCCTGCCCCAGGTAAACACCAGGATCCGGGACCCACGGGCACCTCCCTCCCTCACCTCTGCTCCCTCAGCCCGCCCTGGGCTGGGCTGGACCACAGCCCCATGGATGGTGCCCGGGCTCAGCCTGGCATCTGTCTATTGTTCTGTTTCTCTCCCTCTCTGGGTCTCCTCAACCCTCACTGTTCCCATCCTGTCTTCCTCTCTCGCTGAGGCACTGTCTTTCTCTGGGATGACCCTTGTTTCCATTTTGTCGCCGTCTTTCTCCCTGTCTCTTTCTCTCTCCAGCCATCTCTCTGATGTCTCTCCAAAGGAATTAGCCACTCTGTGGGCCACTTTCTAACTTCAGGTTCTCTCTTGGCTGCCTCTCTCTCCCCGTAAGTCTTACTTTCTCCTTCCCTCTTAGCATGCGTCCTTAGTGCTGGCCACTGTCCCTGTGGGTCTCTGAGCCCCCAAGCCCTTCGGGGACAGAATCTGCCACACCAGGGCCCCTAGGGGAGCATGCGGTCCCCGTATCCCGCCCCAGCCTGCTGGTATATATATATAAAGGTGTATGTACATATTATTTATATCTGGACCAGGGGCAGGAGGGGCAGACACTGGGGCCTTTGTGTAGCCGCTGCCCACTGCCTGCCCGCCTGCCGCTCCTCTCCCTTCGTCCCTGCCGCCCGCCCACCCCCACTCTCCCTGCACAGCAAGGTTCCTGTGGGGCCTGCCAACTTCCTGTGCCCGAGGTGTGAGTGGGCACGCCACATCGAGGCAGGCAGGGGGCGGGGGGGGGGGGGGGGGGCTCCGCCTCCTGGGAAGCTTTCTGGTTGGGGAGGGTTCTGGAAGGAATGGGACTCTCAGCCAGGCTGCTGTCTGTCTGTCTGCATCTGGTGTCCCTGGGTGTCCCTGGGTCCTCAGCTGGCCTCTCCCTGGGGATCTGTGAGCCTGTCCATCCAGCTAGATGGCTCTGACTTTTTCTCTGTCACTCTGGGTCTCGTTCATGCCTATACACACCGTTTGTTGTTGGGCATACGTGTCAGGCCCTCCATGGAGCACAGACAAACGATGGTCCCACCGATTCGTTGTCATTTCTGTCTTGTTTTCTCCATCCCTTCAGCCACTGTTTAAAGCCTTCCACCTGCTCCTATTAAAATGAAATCAAAGTCCATATCATAGACCACAGCACTCTAATGCCTCCCCCACAATCCCTCTAACTTCTTTTCCTGACCCCTCACAATCCCACCATACCTGTTG